CAGCCAGCCATGCTGGCTAGGGAATTCTGGGAGTTGAAGTCCACCCATCTTAAAGTTACTGCGGTTGAGAAGCCCTGCACTAGACTAGGCAAAAAGGAGGTGAGTACTTTGTGGGAACCAGTCATTTTATGAGCGCATTGCGTGCAGAAGCCATGTCTTTCATCACATGCTCGGTTTTGAATCTTGCATGAACCTAGCCATGCCTAAACATGAAGAAGAAGTAGCGATTTCATCAGAGCGGAGTAAATTACACAGGGCTGGATTAATTTCCATTCCAAGCTGTCTGTTTCCTGTTTCCCATCTAGCCTCTGGGACTCCCTGCTGCTGGCAGGGAGCCCTCAAATATGGGGGAGTATTATGCGTAAGAGCAGAATCTAATGAACCAAAGCTTTTGGCTTTAGGGGACCCAAAGCTTTTCCGTGGCTTGCCCACATACTTGGTCGAACCATGTTAGCGCCATGGTGATCTGGGGTTGGTCACTATATTTCAGCTGATCCTACCTTGCCTGGCTGTTGTGAAGATAAAAGAGCAATGTGCCTAGGCAGGAGAGATTGGATTGAGGAGGAGGAGGAAGTATTTGGCCGCAACAGCTGGAGGATTGGGGCAGCTGCTCCAGTGCTTCTAGAGGGCACCGGGTTGGGGAAGGGGGTGGCATTTGTTGCAACGTTGAGGGTCACAGCTGGTATAGAAGCACGTACCCAAGAAATGGTGAGCTGGGAAGGAAATCCAGGTTATGGGTCAAAGCCTCTGATGCAAAGAAACAGGCAGGGACACTGGGGGCAGGGTGTCAAAAAATCCAGATGTTGGCTGCAACTGTGTGACCAAAGCCCGACTCCTTCTTCATTTATTTATTTTACAAATGTAAAATCCTCAGCTTTTAAAGTTCATGGCTCATGTGATGCATGTAGAAAAAAAAGAGGGGGCTTTGATCATGCTGTTGTGGCTGACTTTTTCACACACACACACACACACACACACACCCCTGCTCACCTCTGCAAAGCACACCCCTCCTGATGGGGGCAATTGCCCCCTTCCTTCCAAATGCCCCTTTAAATTTCCACCAGTCGCTACCGAAGGGGCCTGGTAGGCGTGCCAGCTTGCATGTAAATCTTGCAAAGACATCGGGAATTTATTTATTTGTCACATTTATATAGCCTCCCACCTCACTCAGAGCGAGCCTGGCTGAGCCTCTCATCTACTTTTTTTGCCCATCTCTCTCCTTCGGGGCCTGATCTGCGGACTCCCCTTTCGAGGGCTGGGGGTCCAAGTGTGGCTTCCGTTTGGCGGGACCCAGGCTTGGAAAGCCCCCTCGAGACATTTGGTCTTAGTTTTGCTCCTTTCTCCTTTGCGTGCAGCCTCCTGGGCAAATCCCTTCTTCCAAGATGAGCCAAAATCCAAATGGGAGGAAACGGTGGACGTTTTTTGGGACTACGTCACCAAGGCTGGGAACGTGGCGGATGATGTCACTGCTCAGATCAGGACATCACAGATCAGCAAGGAACTGGAGTGAGTGACTTTGCTTCAGCTTATCTTTCTTCT